CAAGGGCCTCAAATACTTGACACTCTCTAGTGTCAGGAATTAGACACTAAAATGACAGCATCTTTCCTTTCTCTGGATACTGTAGGGAGACGAGGTACCAGCTTTAACAAGCTGGGGCAATCAGATATAATTGGATTGTCCTTAAGCCAGTTAGGAGTAAATGCATGAAAAGGATTAAAAAGGAATTAAACATTCTCTGTGGTGGCAAATTTAGCAAGAGTCTCATCTGTTCTGTTTTTGTTCCAAAATTATGAAACATGCTTTTGCCTAAATGGACATCTTTGAAACAGGTCTTTTCAAAAGACCACATACCTCTCCGGATCTTTTCCCCCCTCTGATATTCTTGATGATTTTGAAGCAAACTAAACAGTAACCAGCAGCATAATCCATACTTCTCACATGGCTCATAACATGTATTTCAAAAGTGTTTCAGATTTCTCTTTTCTCCAATGCCCCCTCCCAATCAGAATTACTGTTGGTAAGCGATCCCAGTTCCTTCATATTGAGAATCTCCAGGCCATAAAAAACAACTAAGCAAATGCCTTCCCTATATTTTCACCATTTCTGCCTCTAGGTTTTACCTTTGCCTCTAATAAAGGTAAGCAGCTCCTTCCCTATTCTCTCCCCGTGTCCTTTTCATTTTAATTGTCAAGTACTTCAAACATAGAGAAAAATACCGAATCTAATGAAGCAGACATGTACACATCCACACTGTGACTCAACAAACATTAGGAGTTTGTGAGATTTGCTTTAGATTTTAAAAAGATAGATACAACTTTTGTACTTTTTGTGTCTATAAGTGAGATTGGCCAAGAAATTTTCTCTCCTTCTGTCTTTATCCTTACTTTGGAATAAAGGTTATATGAACTTCATAAAGTGAATAAAGCACTTCCTTGCATTGCCTAGTCACTGGGACCTGTATAATATGAAATAATGGGAAAGTTTGTTGGTGTCCTGGTAAAATTCATCTTCAGAGCTATTTCTGTTAAGTGCTTTGTGTGTATGTAGGGTTGCCTATTTATCCATTTTTTAAAAGATTTTATAAATTCATTCAGGTTTTCTATTTTTAAGTTAAATTTGAATGTTTATAAACATAACAGTTTGTCTGCAAAGATACTGGCTAAAGTCATAGTATTACTTGTGCTTTTTAAAATCTATATATATAGCTACTTTTGCCTTGTAAACCTATGATATATCTCAAACTACATGCCTACCTTTCATTCCTATTAATGTTCATTGGTGCTACCTCTCTCTAGAGGTATGCCTGTTTTATTAGTCTAATAAAAGAAAAATTATTTTGTCCTTTTTTAAATTTCATGAATGCCTATCTTAATTTTTAAATTTTTGTATTTTTCTTTCTCATGGTTTTATTCCTGGGTTCATGTATTAACTTCTTGATGTGTACCTTTAACAAGTGAATTTTCAATATTTTTTCCACTCTCTAATATATACAATTTGCCTTTAAAACCTATTGAGCTTCAATTTACAAATTTTAACATTATCATTCAGAATCAAAATATTTTGTAATTTTTGTTGCAGTTTTTTCCCTTTAACTTATGAAATATTTAGAAATGTGTTTTTGAATGTGCAAATATATGATGGGTATGTGAGGACTGAACAGTTGCTGTGTTCATGTTATTGATACCTACTCATATTTCTTTGTGAAAAGAAAGATGAGGTTTTATATAATTCTCCAGTATTAGTTGAGACTCACGGGTCAGTTTTTTGGCTTTGTTTATGCTTGTTTTCTTACTGTCCCTGGAGTGCTGACAAAAATATTGCTTTCTCTGAAGGGCTCCGTGCAGTGCCCTGGGTTAAATTCATCGGTACAAGATGGATTATTGAGTTGCTGATGTCCTCTGTATTCTTAAGACAAGTCTTTTGTCTGATATTGCAATTTCCGATCAAATATCTTAAGATTTCCCACTAGCATTGTGTAATTCCAGTTTCTCTTTTCAAGTCTCTCAATTTTAGATTTTTGAATGCTATCCTATTTAAATAGATGCAGGCATAAGGTCAATATATTTCCCAGTGAATTATTTCTTTAAAAGTTCTCCTCCTTTTATACCTTCCATTTGATTGATTGAGTTTTCCTCCCATGCATTTATTTTGAAGTCATGAGTCTTCCCCCTGACCCCCAGTGGCTACCTATAGAGTTTTAACAAAGTCAAGAACTAGCCCGTCTCTCTCCTGTTCCCAAAACGTGCCCGGGTTTTACAGTGTTCTCAGTCCAATCACACCTTCCATCCCCCTGCGATGATTCTCCACTACTGTATTTCCACTTGTTTTAACACTCATTAGTTATTAGTATTTTTTTTCACCATTAAGTATATTTGGACTTGTTTCTGTTAGTCTTTTAGTTGACACATTGCTTTTGCTACTTGCTCATTCTTTCTTCTATTTAATTTATTTGTTAAGAACATTTACTGGTTATTTTAGCAAAATTCTCTAAGGGTTAGTTTCCATTTTGGATACTGAAAATATTCTTGTGCCATTGCCATTGAGAGACTGTTTTCAATGAACTTCTAGATTGACACTTATTTTCTCTTGGCCCTTTGATATTTCACTGTCATCTGCTATCTTTTGAGGATAAGGTTTCCGTCTTATTGTCATCCCTTTTGAGGTAATCTATTTTTGTTCAAAACTGTTTAAGATATTCTCTTTTTTTTGATGTTCTGTGATTTCAACATATCACATGGATATTTGTCCTTCAGAGCTGGAGTCCTCCTTTATCTGAGGTCTCATCATTTTTTTTTTCAATTCTAAAGATTTCAGCCATTAGCTCTTCAACTATTGCTTCTCTGCCATCTGCTGTGTGTTTTTGTTCTGAAACTCATACAGATATGCACTCAGACTACTTATTCCATTCCCTGTATTTCGTTCTCTATGGTGTTTTTTTACTCATCATCTTAGATGCTGTATTCTAGATGTTTCACCAACTCTATATTTTATTTAACTAGAGGCCCAATGCATGGATCTGTGCACATTGAAAGGAAATTAATTAGAAGAAGTATTTTAATATTGCTACTTGCCCTTTCTCTATAATAGAAGTGTCAACCAAATTCACAATCGACAATGACAGATTGAAACTCGTGTGTGATTGGCATCAGCGAGGGCTTTATGTGTGTGTGTGTATATAAATTTGCTTTATTAGACCTGCTTTCTGATTTAGCTAAACTTTTTCCAGCCCAGTGAAGGACCCCAGCTTCTCTTTCAAGGAATTGTCACCAACACAGCAGTAAATATCAACACGTCATGTTCCTGGGCTGAAGAAACTCCAAAGAGGCTAGTCACTAGGGAGAGGAAGCCACGTTGCTACATGACATCATTAACCAGTGCCCCCAGCGACCCTTTCAGGGCTGGGCTGGGCTGTGGGCCACATTTTGGGTCATGGGGTCTTGGCAGCATTAGCTGCGATTCGGTGGAGTGTCCCTCCAGGGTGGTGGCAGGGCCTGTGTCCCACTTGGGGGAAGCCTAAAGTTGCTTTGTGGGCGCCAGCTCCGCGGTGCCGTTTCTTTTTAAATGGCCAGTGTGCATCATGGCAGCTCCTGTGTTGAGCATCTACCCCCTGGTGGTCAGTGCACATCATAGCTACCGGTTGGATGGACATTTAGGCGTGTGCGTGTGCGTGCGTGCGTGTGTGTGTGTGTGTGTGTGTGTATTCTTCTGCTGTGTTCATTGAATTTTTTTAATTTTTAAAGAACTAATTTTCTTAGACATTTTATATGGTCATATTTCAAATGTGTCTATTTTTTTTATCATAGTGTCCTGTTTTTATATAATGGTTTTTATTCCTTCTTTTGTCTCTAATTCTTTAAAACAAAGGCCAGCAATTTTTCTATCAGAGGACAGAGAGGCAATGTAGTAGGCTTTGCAGGTCATGTGATTTCCATCACAACTATTCAACTCTGAATTGTAATGCAGAGGTAGACCTAGGGAATCTAAAGAGTTGGACTGGCTATAGCTCATAAGCTGTAATTTATCAACAGATGATTGAAAATACACTCTATTAATATCACATTCAAATGGTTCTCTTAACGTAAATAGCTAAGAGTGGAAATTCTTCTGTTTGATGCATCAGCTGACGGCCCCTCATGGTAGGTTACTTTATTGTGTCAGTGTTTCCAGTTGTGACCTCTATATATGGCCTCCTGTTGGAGGCCAGTGTGCCTTGTGTTGTAGAATTATCCTTCAAAGCATACTGGCTTTGCAGACCATGCAGCTGATATTTTTATAAAGGATTGCTTTATACATTATTGCTCTCAAAATACCCTGGATAAGAGTCTTCTGAAATAATCCAGTGCTTGGTGTTCTACCTGACACATGGGGACCACAGAGCTATTGGTGCTACCCGTATCTCTGTTAAATTCCCAGCACTATTATTATTCATTCTGTGTATTATAGAATGTACAAATATTGTACTTGCTACCACTTATGCTCCCCAATTTTTTTTTAAAATTCTGGTGAATTAGCCAAAACCGGTTTGGCTCAGTGGATAGAGCGTCGGCCTGCGGACTGAAAGGTCCCAGGTTCGATTCCGGTCAAGGTCATGTACCTGGGTTGCGGGCACATCCCCAGTAGGAGATGTGCAAGAGGCAGCTGATCGATGTTTCTCTCTCATCGATGTTTCTAACTCTCTATCTCTCTCCCTTCCTCTCTGTGGAAAATCAATAAAATATACTTAAAAAAATTAAAATTCTGGTGAATTAGAAGAACATAAAATACTTCTTTATCTAGAACTGGTGCTCCTTTGAGACAAAAATATGGACGCATTGAGTGAAGTATGCGTGATGAAAATTAAAGACAACTTAGGCAAATAGGAACACAAAGAAGCTTTGAGATTTCCTTCTGAAATGCCATTTTTAAAAGGGGTAGAATTAAATAGATTCATGAATCTATATGTGTACATATATGTGCTCCATGTGTACATATATTTGTGTGTACACGTGCATGATGTTTCCAGTCCGTAGTAAACTCATGCCTCTTGCTCTTTATCACAGGACACTTGAAATGGACCAAAGCTGAGGACATTGACATAGAAACGCCAGGATCTATTCTTGTCAACACTAACTTGAGGGCATTAATCAATAAACATACGTTTGCTTCCTTACCTCAGCATTTTCAACAATACCTCCTGCTTTTGCTCCCAGAAGTGGATCGGCAGGTAAGTGGAAGTTTAGACACTTGATAGGAGTCACTAGTTGTATTTATAAAGTGGCAAGTCTGTTCTCAAAGATGACTGATAAGTGGATGGACCCTTTTTGTAATGTTACAGTGTATTTATGTAATTTGCATGCTCACCGCTAGCATTGGTGTGTTTGTTTCATCTGCTAAAACAAAGCCATTTTTTATTATCAGGCGTGAACCAATACCAATTGTAAGATACAGCACATTGCAATAAAGTGAAAACAATAGACCTACCCACCATGGGAAGGGAAAGCAAAGAAATCAAACATTCCACCATCAAATACATCGTGGAAGTAGCTGCTCCCTGCCCGGAGGGAATAGTGAAGTGCAGCAATAAAAAGCCAGGGCTTCTAAGAAATTATGTAAATGTTTTTATTCTCAACTCTTTCCAAAAAGCATTTAAAATTTATGTTTGCAGTTGCCTTCTGAAAGTCTATCGTCATGAATACGATTGCCTATAAATAATCACCTTTTATCTTTCTTTTAGGACAACTGGAAATGCTTAAGTGTAGTTTAGTATTTTTGAAAGGCCTCTAAAATAAGGAAATGCAAAGATAGACCCACAATTGCAGGCATCGGTCATCTTCTAAAGCTGTTTCCTTAGAAAAGGCCAACAAATTCATCACATAAGCTTTTATTAAATCTCACAGAAATTATTAAATGGTAAATAGGAAGTTTCCTTGTGATGCTTATGTCAATAAAGTTTGACACTGTGTATTGTTTCCAGTTGATGGACATAGTGTGTGCATATTTATGAATTTGTATCTCAAAATGAATTCGTATCTCAAAATGATAGGTACCTCCATAGACTGATATGGGCGAGATTGATTCAGTATTTTCACATTACTGTGAATAATTTTTTTAGCTTTTTATTTGATTCTGTTCCTACTAACTTATCTCCTTTCATACATACTTAAAATTTGTTGAGCCATCTAGTTTTCTGTCATTCTTATAGATCTCTTTGGTAGAGATTATTGTTCCTATCTGGAAAAAATATTATTTTCATTTTGGGAAGATTTGTGTTTGGAGGTTTGCCTTCATTCTATAAAAATTGTTTAATATTTATGAAATCAATGATTACATACACTCGAGTTGGATACATCAGCTGTATTTCTAAATAATCAAAATATGAGATAGAAACAGATAAGCTTTAGGGAAAGGCAGAAAGTATACTGAGCTTTCATGTGGAGAAGGAAAGAATCAGAAACAGATTTAAGATTGGGCCGAGAAATATGGGCAGAATTTGAAAACAAATGATGGAAGGTGAAAGGTTCAGATACAAAATCCAGAGCTAACGTTGTGGGAGACTGGATTTTAGGTGGAACTGTGCCAGTGAATCTGGGGAGACAAACTAGAAGTTGATTTCGGGAGATCCGTGCGTATAAAGGCTGAGAGGTCTTGGAAAGTGTTCTCCCCGTGTTTGCAGTGCAAAGCCGTAGAGGGCTTTTGAGCAGAGCTAAAATGTACAATATTGTTGCTCTTTAAGAAACTTACTCTGGCAGCACTAAAAAGGAATGTTAGAGATGGGAGGCATGAGGGTGGAAAAAGTGGTTAGAAAGCAATTTTAGTTGTTTCAAAAAGGCAAAGTGAGGGCTTGGATTTGGAAAATAGCATTGAAATCGAGGAGGAGGATAATGTCATCATTATCTTCATCATCACCCAGTGGGAGCAATTTTACATTTTGTCAAGTAGCAGTTGCAGTAAGATATAGGGAGAAGCTACTGATGACTCTTAGATTTCAAGCTTGTGTGATTGAGAATTGAATGCAGGAATTAAGAAAAAAAATTACTTTTTTTGTGGTGGTGGGGACTGATTTTTTTAGTTACACACTATTTCCTCCACTTCAACATCTGTGCGGTTTATCTTGTTGGCAATTTGGTCTCCAACTCCTAGAATAAGATTTGGCATATAAAGGATAGTCAGTACATCTTTTCAGAATAGAGAAATGACAGGTTGTCCTAGGTAAGCCAGGAGGCCAGCCTCAGCACTTTCTGTCACTCAGCTTTTTCTAGTCGTTGTGAGAAATATAGACGAGCAAGGCACAATACCTGTCCACAAATAACAGTTAGTTCACCAGGAAATTATTTATGCAAGAAATATCTATTGAGCATGTATTATGTGCTCCGTATACATTGCGAAATACAGAGGATACGAGAATGAATCTTCTAGAGCAGCGGTTCTCTACCTGTGGGTCGCGACCCCTAAGACCATCGGAAAACACATATATAAATACATATTGTTTTTGTGATTGATTACTATGCTTTAATTATGTTCAATGTGTAACAATGAAAATACATCCTGCATATCAGATATTTACATTACAATTCATAACAGTAGCAAAATTACAGTTATGAAGTAGCAACGAAAATAATTTTATGGTTGGGGGTCACCACAACATGAGGAACTGTATTAAAAGGTCGCGGCATTAGGAAGGTTGAGAACCACTGTTCTAGAGGAATAACAGAGAAGAGAGACAACCTTGTGTTAAAATGCTGTACAATATACACTTTGCTCATTACTAGGAACTAAGTCTTAAAACTGGATGGATCTACACCAAATTTAGCATAAGACACAGGAAAGTAATATAAATGCCTAAATGGAAGAATAAAAAACATCCTCTGAGTGTCCAGAGGATAGAGAACTTCAGTCTGGAAGTAGTACTGGAGATGATTTCATGGTGGAAAGGATAATGGAACCTTGAAGCACTAATAGGTGTTTCATCAGTAGAACAAGGGACAGTGACTCTTACAGAGGAGGAGGGTGCCACTTACAACGACCTGAGTACCAGGAGATCCAGCAGTTCATTGTGCCTGGATGAGGGGGGAAGAGGTGGATGCTGTGCTGACAGGTTGTTGGTTGACCACCTTGATGACCTGGTTGCAGACTACGCTCTTGGAACTCTTTCTCAAAGGAATGGGTACCATCAGAGATTTTGCAAGTGAGAAGTGGCATGCGTGGAATAATATATACAGATATTTTAGTGCCTGGACAGAAAGGAGGGGAAGAAGATCCTAAAAGATGAATAAAATGCAGTCTTCATTTTCTCTTAAGAGCTAGTCGTCCTGTGAATGATGGATGGGACAGGCAGAAAGTTAAGGCTCAGGGATACTGGTTTAGAGACCATTGTAGTAGTTGAAAACAGAAATAAGGGTCTGACCTTGGGCTTTTGGCCTTGAAAGAGAACAGAAAGGACTGAATTCCAGGCATATTTTCAACCCAGCCGAGTAGGAAGACATGAGAGATTGCCTGGGCGATGGGGTTGTGAAAGGTCTAGAAGGCGGTGGAGATTTTATCTCGGGTGACTTGGGAAGACAGAAGGGCTCTGTGATCCTATCAGCATTTGGTACCAAGGAATTTACAGCTCTTCTGTCTCTGTCTCAAGATGAGCAAAACCCTTGCTCCTGCTACCAAACTGCTGATGTTTCAGTTTCGCTTATAAATATCCCAGTGGGAATGGGCACTCTTTTCTGGGGCAGAATCTGATCCCTAGAAAAGGCACGGGAATGGGGATCTGATTACACAGATTTACTATTTGAGCCAGTGGGAGGCACTCTCATTATGTGGAATACCTGGGAATTTCACTGGTAGGAAAGCTGTCTTCGCATATTTTTTACAACATCTGAGATTCCCAGCTTTCTTGTTTCCTGCCTTTGATTTCCCCGGGTTTCTGCCTGATTTCTCCCCTAGCGCCGTCCTCCCTGGCCTCCTCCCCTGGACCACGTAAAGCCGGGTTCATTGCTTTATGGCATCTTCAGAATACAAGCCAGGCTTCCCATTTCTCCTGTCAGTGCCAGCTGTCATGAAGCTAGCCTGTCTGGTATTTTGTTTCCCTATATTTGTACTTTCCTTTCTTTTTAAGAAGGTATTTTTATCTTAGTTTACATTTTTTATTTACTCCTAGTTGTTTTATAACATTGTCACACTTCATTTTACTCTCCACACATTACGCTGCAAGGAACAGAAAATCAAACTCCAACTGACCGAAATATAAAGGGGATTTATTGGCTCAGGTAATTAGAAGCGAGAGGTTCGAGTGGACTTCTGGTTGTTGGTCCTGGTTTCAGTATTTATTAAGGACCCATTTAATTATTATTAGTGAATTAATTTTAAAATCGTCTCCCTTCTTGTTGGCACTATTCTAAACCTGAATCAAAAAATCAAAAAGCGTACTTGTCTCTCAGTTCATATTCATGAAGAAAGTACTTCTATTTCAGTATCTCAAAGAAGACCTGGGATTCACACTAAAGGTACTACTTGGGTCACATGATCACTTCTGAAACAATGATGCTAGCCAAGGCGATGGACTATGCACAGTGGTTTAAAGCATGCAGGCCCACTCTTGAACCTTAGAGGTAAAATGGTGCACTGTGGTAGAGGTCAGATATACTTCAGAAATCTGGCTTTTAAGAGGTTCTATTAGAAGGATATGTCATGGGGGTGGGGTGGGGAGAAGCTTGCTAGTCAGTTAACAGTGCCTACTGTAGGGGCGGGAAGAGGTGTTGAATTGAGTTTTAACATGTTGGGTTGAAATGCTTCTACTATATCAGTGGTTCTCAACCTTCTGGCCCTTTAAATACAGTTCCTCATGTTGTGACCCAACCATAAAATTATTTTCATGGCTACTTCATAACTGTAATGTTGCCACTGTTATGAATCTAATGTAAATATCTGATATGCAGGATGGTGTTAGGCGACCCCTGTGGAAGGGTCATTCAACTGCCAAAGGGGTCGTGGCCCACAGGTTGAGAACCGCTGTACTATATGCAATGTCCAGAAACGATTATATGTTCAGGTTTGGGGAATGAATAAAATTCAGTGAGTGATAAAATCTACATGGATAGCAGTGTCATCTGGGGGATGTGAGGAGGCTGAGAGACATCATAGTCATCCCAGAGGAATACATATATTTGTGGGAGGATGTGAGAAAGAGTATGGGAAGGAGCCAGGGGAAAGATAGAAAAATACAAATCCGTGAGA